TTTGGGGGGTAGGAGGGTTGTGTTGCTCCGAGAGACCGAGACACCTACTTATGCATTGGAGAACCTGGAAGGATGGATAGAGATCCCTACTTAGATGATTGATAAGTATTCGCGGACTGCACTGGACCGGACTGCACTGGACCGGACTGCACTGGACCGGACTGCCCCTGGACTGGACTGGACCACTGCAAGTTATCTACCTACCTACCTACCTACCTACCTAGGTAGCCATCACTTTTCTAGGTACCTTACTTGTCAACTCGTCTTCGGGTCTGGTCTAGTTGAGCATCAATGACCTCAGAAGCGCGGTCTGCTGAGAAGATGCGATACCTGCACTATATCGAAGATTGTTGTTGGCTGTCTATTCTTTCCTTCTCAAGTGCCCGCCCGGCCAGAGGGGCATGAATCGCAATTTCTGTTTTCTCGTAGTAGTAGTTTTGACGGGCCGATGGCAGTTTGCTGAATCTGGGATGGATGTTGGGACATGTAAAACAGTAGCGAGCGAGGTCAGTGGGAAAACACTAAATACCTAGTTAGAGGTTCGGGTAGATATAAATGGGCGGCTCGTTGTGTGATTTTGTTGATCAGTTGTTCTGTCGGACGATGAGAGGATCCATAGAAAGTACCTTGCGCCTATCAACCTGTCAAGATTGTAAACTTTTATTCCCATCAGACAGTCAGTCCGACCGAGGTGACGCCCTCAATTACTTACCCAACCCATTACACCAAAACGCAACGGAGGAACAGATGTTTGTCACGAATTGTACATACATACATATATGTACCTGCATATGTCGAGCACAGGGACTTGGACGGACTCCCCTAGTCCATGTTCTTCGCGCCCCTTTCACACCAGCCCAGGCCCTCCTCTTCCACCGACCGACCAATTCTGAACCATCTTGATCGATGCACATTGCAAGAAATCCAAAATGAAAAAGAGTTTTCTTCGAATAAAAGTGTTATTGCAAGAAGACCATCCATCCATCCATCCATCCATCCATCCAGCCAGCCGTGCATCCATACATGCAATGCTAACTAATGCCATGCCATGCAAACAAAAAGACAAGACCAAAAAAGGGAAATAGGTAGGAGAAAAAAACACCAATCCAAGCCGTTTTTTTCTCTAATCCCATCCATCCATCCATGCCTTTTTCTTCTTCTTCTTCTAAAAAGTCCCCCCTCTTCCCCGCTTGTACCGCGCCGCGTTCCCGGTCTCGGTCATTCGTCATCTGAATTCCTCGTATGTACATGAATATAAAAGCAAGCCCTACCCAAATCGCCCCTATCGCCGCGCCGCATAAACTCCGAATGAAAAAAACGAATTAAATGAGGAATGCGCGACGTCGATGATATGGTGGGGGTGCTTGCTGATGTTAGGGATGGCATGGGACTGGACAAGACCACGGCCGTTTTTGCTCATCTGAGCAGTGTCGTCGTCTCGTGTCTTGGGGGGTGGTCCCGTGGTGAGTTGCATCCTGCTGATCGCTATGCTCGTCCTTGCGCTGTGTGTGTGCTATGTACCCCTATTGTATGTGCGTTTGAATGCGTATATGCAAAGTTGGTTGATGATGATGACGATCGAAGTCTGTTGTGTGCATGCGCCGCTGTAATGATGCAATGATGTGTCGTGTAAAAACAAAAAAAAAAAAAAAAAAAAGTTGGAAAAAAAAGGCTCGTCAATGTCGTGGAATATCAGAGCTTAGAGCTTAGCCTCAGCGGTGCTGTAAATCGTCCAGTTTTAGCCCATGTTCTTTCTCTTCCATCATGTTGCTAAAAATGTCAAAAGTTTTCGCGATGCCGGTTCGTCAAAGTAGCAAGCAGAATGCAAAAAGCCAATAAAGCCAAACATCAAAGTAGAATCCACTAGATACCACCCGAAATGCGTCATTGTGGTACGCGCCCCCCGAGCAAAACAGAAGGGTATATACAATCAATCGCCGTGACCAGAGACTTTTCCCCGCCATCACCGACACCATGACCGTCTTTTGACCGAACAGTCCAAGGAAAAACCACATGCAAAAGAGACAAAAAGGGCAAAGCGTAACAAGGGGATGGGGGTGTGGGTGTGGGGGAAAACAAGGGGGAACGTGTCCAATCCGCGCATGTGACAGCGCACCAAAGACAACAACAACGCGCGACAGGGATCCTCGGCTAATGTTCCCAATCGCCTCAACCCATCATCATCATCTGGCTTCTTTCGTAAAATCATCACAATCATCGCTTTGTTTTCAATTCGCACAAAATCACTCCTCATACCTTCCACCGGTCAAAGCAGCAGGACCGCTCCGCTCGAGCTTCTGCTTAAGGAACTCGTAGACAGTAAATGTGACGGCCTGACCGGGCGCGACACGCATGATGCGGGGGGTGATGCCCTTGTAGAAGGCGTGGAACCCTTCTTGCCTGTTTGTCGCATTTGCATCAGCAACATGCCCCTTCACGGTAATTGAGAGGCTGAAAGGGAAAGGGAATGGGAGGCTGCTACTCACTTGAACATCTCAGCAGAAATCTTGGTAATTCTCTGGAATGCCGTCTCGCCGGGCTGAGCAACGCTCTTTTGGAGTCTGGTCTTGATGGTATCGATAGGAGCGTTTGAGAGAGGACCCATAGCACCAGAAACGAGACCAATAAGGGTGGTTTGGTAAGAGGGCAGGTTCTGGCCGACATATTCGGGCTGGTAATCATAGAGCCACTTCTTGAAGTAGCTGTAGGCAGTGAAGTTGACGGCCTGGTTGGAACCCTGGCGGAGCGCAGTCAGGGAAACACCGCGGTAAAGCGCACCAAAACCCTCCTCCTTCACGACAGTGTAGAGCGCATGCGCGGCGTTGCGGTACTTGGGAACGTCCAAAGGATCAGCCATGGAGTGGTGCTGCGCCTGCAGACGAATCTTGATGACCTCCATGGGAGTGACAACGGCAACGGCCTCGGTGACACCGGCAGCCAAACCGGCGAAGAAGGTGGCCTGACCCGAGACAATACCAGTCTGCTTGTCGGCCAGGAGCTGCTTGTACCACTCGAACGAGGTGAAACGGATGGCCATCTTGGGGACGATACCCGTCAGGACGGCACCGAGACCCTTGTAAAGACCGAGCGCCGTCTCCTTCTTGACAATCTCGACACCGGTGCGGATGAAGCCACGCTTGGCTTGGCCGGGCACGCGGCCGCGCTTGGAAAGCTGCATGCGAACCTTGATGGTATCTGCGGGAATGCCGAGGTTAGCCGAAGTCGGAGGTATAAGGGGGGCTGTGAGGCCATGCAATGGGAAATTGCTTACCAAGAGGGTGGCAGACGAGAGCCTCCATCATACCGGCACCACCACCAGCTGTATTAGCGTAGAAAGGTTAGCCAATTTGTCCTTTGAAGACGCCGTGACCAGACTGCTTGGCGCATTGCGCGCCAGCAGCCTCCCGTCTCATTTCGTCTCCCCCAGTTGTGGGAAGCTCACCGATGAGGTTGGTGGCAGCGGAAGTCCGCTTCTTGGGATCTTGGTTGACTTTGGTTGCCATTGTTGCGGTTGTTGTATATGTGCGGTGTGTGGTGTTGGTGGATGGTGATGTTCGGTGTAAGTGGTGTTAAGCGGTTCGGCGCAACGGTGACAAGTCGTCGGTATAGGTCCGTCTCTGGCGTGATCAAGTGGTTATTCCCCCGTAAAAGAGAAGAAGGGGAAGCAAAAGGGACAAATGATCTGGGTGGCCTTGCCGGATATATCAATGGCGTATCCACACAGGGGGGGTAGGGACCGAGGGATGGAGGTGGGTTGGTTGTGGGCTGGTCTTGGAGACAAGAGAGTCCGCTTCGCGAAGTTCGGCACTCCAGGGAAATCGCCGAAAATGTCTCGGGATAGCTGCTAAAGTTAACAACCCCTGTAACTTGGTACCGGGCGTAGCTCGGTATGGGGGGGAATTTCAGTGAGCTGTGTCTAGAAAAGGGCAGAGACAAGGCTGGCCCGAACTGGCTTGGATGGATGAACGTGTTGCCGCGAACCGTGAGAAGAGCAGTCAATACAATATGTACAAAGCGTAAAATGAGAACAGATGAACCCTTTCAGATATACGTGATGCTGAAGTACAACTTCAGTTCCCGGCAGATATCCGATCTAGATAGACTCGCGGCGAGACACGATGACACTCTGGAGTTGCCAAGGACGAGGCCGTTTGGGCGCGAGTCAGTGGTTGGGAGGATTGTTAATTCACTTGGAAACGTAGGCCTTGGTAGATCCGACTCCACTCTCGTGCTCACGACGACGGAGAAAGCCAGAGTATCTCCCAGCAGCGGTTGAGTTTAAAGGAAAATGGTAAGAGGAGGGCAGGCGGAGAATATGGAGCCTGGCATCAACAACGACGGCTAGGTATCAGAATCGCAACGACTTGTAACGAGGGCATGTGTCATTTCTTCTTGACATGTACGACAAAAAAAGGTTTGGCCCTACCCAACAGGTAGGTGGTGGTGTCTTTGTTCTCTTGCCGTCACTTTGCTCGATACGGTCAGGTCGGACAACTCGGAAGCTTCCATATGACGCAGATCTTGGACAGAGCCGAGCCGAGCACCGTGGTGGCCCGGCGACCTGCAACAAGAGTCTCGAGGAAAAGAAGCGGTGGTGCCCCCGGACCACAGAGGTTGAGAGGTGTGACCTGGCAGGCCTGGAACTGCCAGTGAGCGCTAGAGCTCCCGCGGCTGCATGACGATGGACCAGGGATGGCCGGAGCTGGAGATGGATGTACAGTATGTACCAGTGCTCTCAGTTGGGGGGCTCGTTGGTAAGTTAGGTACCTGTGGCAGTGGTAGAAATGGGATTTGAGGCGGCCGGGGACAGAGAAGACGCGAGAAGGGCTGGTCCACTGCTGCTGTGGATCAGGGACCAGAGCTCACTTCAGGCGGTGGTGAGGCGGACACGCAAGGATCCTTTGGGGATTATGGCGGTTGTGATTCGTCGGTGGTGGTCAAAGTGGTTCCTGGGTGACTCTCGGTTGCTTTCCATCTATCCGCAACCCCGGAATACTTGGCGTGACAGTTCGATGAAGGGGGGGGGGGAAACAACGTTGCTGGATGGTTGTAAAGAATAGTGTACATTAGATATCTTGGTGGACAGACGACATGGACGATGTGACGCCCAACCATGGACGCAAAAATGTCTTCTTTTTCTTTGGATATGATGCATTGGCCAATGACAAGTTGTGACGGAGAACGTGCATGGTGCGTGCAAAGCAGTGTGCAAAGGGTCAGATGGCAATGGATTGACACCAGATATGACATGACAGAAATGGACGCGATATGAGTCCGCCAGCGACAGTGTCAGAAACGACACTATTGATCTTTTCCTCCCATTTCGCTATTTCTTCGAGTGGCGTTGGCGATTGGAGTTGAGTCAACTCTGCGATGACAAGTCCGGACATACGGGATGAGCCCCAAGCCCCGTCATTCGGAGCAGCGGAGGGCAGCAAACTCGGCGGAGAAGACAGATGACTGGATACAAAGACGCGGCACTTGGACGCACCCTCCCGCCCCGCGCTGCCACACTTTAACAGCTGCACCCCTGGCACAACCACCACCTTGATCGCATGCCAGTGACCAACTCTGGTCTACAAAGGCTTCTTTTTAGCCCGGGGTAATCAAAGCATGACAAGCAATTCCATGCTCTGGGAGAGGAATGGGATGCCAAGAGAAGAGGCGGAATTGCGTAAAGAGACAATGTAGAAACACCCATGAAAGGGAACTGGGACAGGCTGTTTACTTGTTGCCAGGCACAACACAAGTTGACACCAGACACATGGACATGCTACCTAGTACATGCAGTACTGGCTGTTCTAGAGTTAAGCAGTAGTCATCCCCGTAGCCAACTTGGCATGCCACTGAGGAATGAGACTGTCCTCGTGACTTTCATGTCTTGGCTGTCAGCTGAGATGCGAGACGGGCATCACTGGGAGATTTGCTTCAGCTTCAGGGCCTTTTTCAGGCAGTGTTACCGCACTCGACGAGTCTCGTCCAGCCTGGCGTTGAGACAAACAGTTGGCCATGTCGGCTGGCTTGTGATGATTGTGTGACGTAGCTAATAGCCGATTCGAAGAGCGGAAGGCCGACGGAGCTTGTGATTTTGCGGGGGCCGGGGGATGGGCACCATGAAGCTGATCAGGGGAGAGGGGGGAGAGCCGACGATGATTGACTTCCCTTGGAAGGGAGAGAGAGCAGACGGTGCACGAGCCAGGGGGTTGCCTGTGCATCACCTTTGCCGGCCGGGAATAGGCAGTCGTTCGTCACAACAAAATGCCAGCCGCCAATCTGCTAAGGACGAGCGGAATGTCACAGCACCCAGCAGCACCACCCCACGGCGTCCGAACCCAATCAGCCGAGATTTGTAAGAGTTCGAACCATCCGTCCACCGCCTGAGCGACAGCTTCTTATCAGATCCGAGTCGACCGAACTGATCTGATGCGGTCCCGCGAGTGAGAGCTGAAGAGTCGTGGACCGCCATCGTAACAACGGACCGTCGCAGGCGTGGCTGGAGAATGCCGTACCGTGCCTCACTCTGGCTGATCCAGCTTCTGGAAGGAGGCAAGCACGTGCCAGCTTTCCCTTTTGACACTCATGAATGTGCTGTTTGGGCTTCTTTTTCCTTTTCCAGTTGCGCGGCTCAGGGTGACATTGCCGAGGTTGTATCCTACCCGTCGTCTTGGTTTCTCATGAAAGAGTCAGACTCCAATGTCACCGCCGACAACGGCGGCGACCCACGGCGCGTGCGAACTGTCTACTAGTGCGTTTCTTCGGTATGGCGCTGACTCTGTCTGATATTGAGCGAGAAGGTCAAGAATCAATGACTGTTTGTAAAAGTCAGCGACGGTGAGAGAGAGAGTAGATAGAGTCAACAAAACTCACCATGAAGACTAATACCCGCCGACAGCCGTTCGTTCCCGCGCTCCCGGGAGGAGGGAGGCCCGGCAGTGTCGGATCTCGGGGCGATATCAATCCGCTTTCGGCGGTCATTGATGTTGTCCCTATTGCGTGCTTGGTTGATGCCCTGATGAGATATGGAAAACACGACACGACACGCGATAAGTCGATCGATCACAGAAGGTATGTGCTTGAGGTGTGCCGGCCGGTGCTCAACCAAAAGAGATTTGAGTAGTGAATAAGTAGGTCGGTTGGTTGATGAGCGTGAGAGGCGGAGGAGGCGGAGGAAGAAAACTGAGACTTGAGATGATCTGAGCAGCCAAATGTTCCTTCCCATACTATCATGAAACATCGAGATGGCACTTTCCGCTTGGCCCTCACCCACTTCAATCATCCGGGCCCCGTTCAACGCTCGTTCCTGCCTTTGATGTGCGTTAGGTTGCGTAAAATCCAAGTGAAATTGGTCCGCTCATGATCACAAAGGAAGGAGCCATGCGAAATGTCAAGTTGAGCGGAAGGTAGGTTCCTACAGTACTTGCTACGTCGGTAATGAAGGAAGAAGGGACATGTTTTCCGCGCAAATTGATATATTGTAGATACGGAACATGATTCCGTCTTTTCGCTAGGTACCTATCCATAGTCATTCTCCTGGAAAATGACGAATGAGAATAAGAACTGATACACCAGAGAACAAATACCACACCCATCGACCCGAAGCATCGCCGTCACTGAATGTACATATATTCTGACCACCACAGACAAGATAACGATGAGCGACACATGATATCTGTCCCATTCCAAACTACCATCTTATCTTTCATTATTTCAAATCATACTACTATCACACCAAACGAAGCAAGAGGGTATAGAACTAGAACAAATAAAGTAAACAAAAGCCAAAATCATAAACTCCATCCAACCAACCAACCCCCCCAAGGATATATCCTTCCAGAACCATGCAAAATGACGCCCCCCTTCCCTTCCTTTTCTGTATCACTTACTATAAGTGCCTGGCTGCTTTTGAGATCCCATCCCAGATGCCTACCTTGTAAAACACATGACGTTGTAACCTATGCTTGCAAGTTGACCCAAAACTAATCTGCCTTCCTTTGTTCCCTTCTTGGGGAGAGGCAATGTTTTGTTGAAAGCAAAAAAAACACAAAAAGAAAAGTTGCTTCTGAGATCGCATAGAGGGTGGAGAAGAAGAAGAAGAAAAAAAAGAAAGAAATGCGAGGACGCTGATAAACGAAGATGGCGTATCTGGAAGTTCCAAAACTGGAGGGAAATGCAAGAGCAGTCAACATGGGTAGTTGAAACCCGACATGCTCTCATCGTTCCCACGTCAAAGAAACTTCAGCCACCACCTCACTGCCGACAAGGCTTGAAGGAATGTAACCGAATCGTTCCATCCTCACTGCCACTGGCCATCAGACTATCGCTTAGCCCAACACAAGTCACGGGTCCGCAGTGGCCCGTATACGTCGCATCGCACTTTCCGCTGCGCGGCTCCCACGTCTTGACCATGCCGTCGTTGGCTCCACTGATCACACGGATCGTATCTCCCGCCAAAGACCAAACGCCCTCGAGGTGGCCAAACAGCGTCCTCAGACACCGACCCGTCGCGCTGTCCCAGAGGCGCATGGTGCTGTCGAGCCCGCCCGTCATGAAATAGCGCGGGGGAAGTGGCCGTGATTCGTCGGCTACAAAGGCGGAGCCATAGAGATGGCGCACGTCCTCGTCGCCACTGGGCATGCTGCTCGGTAGCAGGTTGTGGCTGGAGCTATGGCTGCCAGGGCTGCCGGCGCGCTCGATTTGCGCATGCGACATGGAGGGGCTTCCGCTTCCGCCCGATGATACCGACATGGCGTCTTGGTTGTCTTGCGAAGCACCATTGAGCACCTCCTCGTCGGGCTCATACTCGGGCGGGAGGATGAGGACCTGTTGCACATGGCCGACATGTCCTTCGTAGGTCCGGATAACCTGGCGCGTGTCCAGGTCCCACAGCTTGATTGTCGTGTCATCCGAGGCCGAGAAGACGGTTCGGCTCTTGATGTCGACATGGGTCGAGTTGACCCAATCGCTATGGCCCTTGAGGCAGTATGTCTCTTTGGAGTTGAAGTCGAAAATCTTGACCGTCTTGTCGCTCGACCCACTGGCGAGTAGGTGGCCATCAAAGTGAACGCTAATCACGGAGTCGGTGTGGGCAGCGAACGTGGAGAGGCACTCGCCGGTATGCCAATTCCAGACCTTGATGGTATCTACGAATCAGTTAGCAAAATTGGCATGCTATCATTGGAGGCGGGTTGCGCAACATACGGTCCAGACTGCCACTGATGAGCTTCGAATCGTCAAACTGTAGCGCACGAATGCCAGCCGTATGGCCGACAAGGGTCCGAATGCACTCCTCCGTCTCAATGTTCCCTGTCAGAAATGTGTTAGTTTGAAGCGAGCACCGATGTCCAAAGAAGAAAGACCACATACAGATCTTGATGGTGGTGTCGTACGATCCAGTCGCAAGGATGTTATCATCGAGCTGGAGACAGGTGACACCATTCTCATGACCCTTGAGAACCGACAACTTGTATCGGCTGTTTTTCCAGTTGTAGCTGACCTGCCAGCGATCCCGGTAGACGGCCTTCCAGCTTCGGGTCTTGGGTTGCGTTACCGCCTTGGAGGCTTCTGCTGCAGCCATACACTGGCGCTTCTTGATGGGGTCCTCTTCCTCCGCCTCTGCTGCCGGGCGCTTTCCATGTTGATTGACGGATCGATCCTGGCTGTCGTGGGAGTCGGCCAGTTCCGTGACCCTCCCTTGTGGCCCACCCTTGGCCAGCTGTCTTTGTCTTGTGTAGTTGCGCAGCTTCTTGCGTTCCAGCAAGGGTAATCCCCATCCACACTTTGTGCACTTCCTGTTGACGTGTTGCTCGCACATGCGGACCCAGACGGCATCGGAGTCGGCCAGGGTTCGCCACCTCTGGCTGACCTGGGCGGCCTTGGTCAAGCTGACGGTGTCGAGATAGCACAGGACCTTTTGGGCGAGCTCGACGGGGAGGGCGGAGATGAAGTCGATCTTGAGGGCTTCGTTGACTTCTCTCGAGACGAAGGAGAGCTGAGGGAAGCAGAGCTGGGAGAGGATACCCTGAAGCATCAGGTCGCGATGTCGGGCAGGGGCGGCCGAGAACAGGGACCACACGTGGGTCACAGCTTGCTGATCCTATTATTTCAAGCAAGGTACGAGTCAGTCCACCAAATCTTGAGAACAAGAAGCAATCAATGTTTATGTTGTATGTAGACCCACCGCTGATGTGAGCTTGTCCAGCTCGCTCTGAATCATGACCATCTTGGCCTTGTCGGCAGCCCTTCGGCACTTTGAGTCGGGGTGGTGTCTGTAGCAGTACTTGGAATTGGGGTTCTCTGCTCTGGCGGTCTCTTGGTTCCCCGGCTTGCCGATGGGGGCGTAGAGGCTGGGAATGTGTTCCCGAAGGAAAGGCGTGACAGTCTTGCTCATGAGGACGGACGACATGTTGGTGACGCTGTTGCGGGAGCGCAACCTTGCCTGTTGCTCTGGTCGTTTGCGGTCGCAGTTTTGGTCGGTGGGATCGGAGTCGGTGTCGCGCGAGTGGTTGTTATGGTGATGAGAGTACGAGTTCACTAGAGGCCCATGTTGGAGCGGGGCGTCATTATCATGTCCGAAGCTCGCAGTCGGACGAGACGGGGCGAGGTGGTAGGAATCCATTGGGAGAAGGGGAGTCGAGGACCGCCGGGCCCAGAATGACGCTGCGATTATGCGTTCTGGGGGGAAATTAGAGTGCGTTTGCGGTTGCGTGGTTCTGTTGTTGAATGGCGGCAGAGGCAACACCAAGCATTGGTCGGCTAGAGGGCGATGGATGGCGTGCTGACCAGGGGAGGCAGACTGCTGCTGTATCGCAGTGCTGTCCTGTGCTGTCCTGCCTGTCCAGTCCTGTCCAGTCCAAGGTATGTACTGTAGGTACTCCGGTCGGTCAGGCTGGGGCGGGAAAGGGTAGGTATGTGGTCTTGCGTGATCTGGTTGATGTGAGGTGTATGGATGGATGGTGGTCGATGTTTGGGCGGCGGTCTACCGTCTCGGAGGTCCAATCTCGTTAATGCGGAATCCAGACTCGCTCCACCGTTGGGCAGGTCTAGATGAAGCTGGAGGAGGAGCAGAAGGCAGGGTCCCGCAGACAACAAACAGCAGCGATGTGATGCCGGGCAGCCCAACTGGCGATCTTGATGTTTCTGGATGGACACGTGATGGGATCTGAATGTTGTTGGCGGAGGATTGGAGATGGAGCCCCGGGGAGGAGGCGATCAGGAAGAGCTGAGATGAAAGAGGGACCGTTGAAGGATTGATTCCCTGGAGGTGGGCACGCGGGTTGTTGGACCTGTTGTTATTGGTGCAGTGTAAGTGTTAGTGCACTCTTATCTGGTGTAGCGCAGTATAGCTGCAGTTTGGAGGGCTATCACGTTAAGGAGGAATGTCTGTCGAATGGAGGATGATGACCTGGGAGCAGCGAGGATGTGGACGGGACAAGGTGGCACCTCACGCAATGCACAGCACCTTGGTCGCCATCCGAGTCAAAGTGTTTAAAGGGTCCTTTTTGGTGGTTTACGTACTGTGATGATGATGACCTATTTCAAGGTTGACTTCGTTGTTCCACTTCTGTTGTCTCAAATTTCCAATCTCTCCGGCTTTCGGTGCCTCGCTGTCTCTTTCAGTCTGGGCAGCTACCTAGTATGTAAAACTGCTCTGCTCTTTGAAGCTACTGTAGGTAGGTGTCGGGTACGAGTGCCCGTGCTCCCTCTTTACCTAGTACAGTAGCGTAACCGGATACCAGGTAAGGTAAGTGACAGCTCTGGAACGGCTGTCGGTGATGGGTTGGGATATGGATGAGGAATACTACCTTAGATACTTAGATGTACACTCCTTCCAAAAAGGCAAAGTCTCAGTAACTAGTGAAGTATCGCAACGGGGTGTTGAACCTCTTGCTTCACACCGCCTGAAATCGGATGTGTCTTGACTTCAGTTGCTCCTTCTCTGTGTGTGACTGTGAAATGTTGCAGACGGAAAGAGACAAGATTGGCCGTCGCTCTTGCAAAGAGAAGGGCAAAATGGCGAAATCAACTGGGGTGGGGCGCGGGAAGCTCCCAGGTACAGAGTGGAGTCACCCATCCTCGTTTTTTCGCTTTGTTGCTTTGTCGCCAGAATTGCGACATCACCGGGCCCACTGTAAAATGCGGGGATGTACTGGCTGTTATCCACTGCGCCAAGCAGTGCAGCAAGTGTCTAACAGCCAAGACTCGTAGCTCTATGGAATGATGCCGACTCCAGTCACGTGCCATAACCAGGTCCCCAATTGGAAATTCAGCATCAACACCACGACACATGTCTCACGATTATTAAAACAAAATAAACCTTCCATTGTTTCGCCACCAAGGGCATGGATTTCTAATATGGCGACTTTGAATTTTATCCACTTTCTCTTTTCCTCTGGCAACCTGACCACAGTAGTGTATGCCTCCCGTCGTCGTCTTGAATCACTTGACGAGCCTCAGCTTGACCTTGGAGCGGCTTCATGTCGTCGACAGGAAGGACTCCGAAGACGGACATCAACGTCACTGCGGCCACAGTCCCCAAGGACCACACAATCCCCATCGCACTGTTGACGGCATCTCGATGTGGAGTGTCGTCTCCATTTAACCCAACTTAAATGGACGCTACCCAGTTCTTCCCGTCTCCCCCGTGCATGTCAACATCCAGGCGCCATGTCGTGATATCCACCCGATAAACATCGTGAGACAGTCCGGGCCGTGGTCAGCGACTTGGACATTCCCATTCTGGCTTCAATCTCGATCTCGGTGTTCTCGGAATAGCATCTTCTCCCTCTTCCCAGCATGTTGACCCACGACAAGGTCATTTTTCTGGGGAATTTTGTGGGGTGACCAAGTCTGGCTTCCGTTTTCATCATCATGGAAGCTTTCCAGACATTGGAGGGAATTTCAAAGGCCTGAGTTTATGTCAGCTTGTGGATGTCGACACAGGCTGACGGAGCTCCAGGGATCATATCTAGCCATGCCTGATAAGCACTGTAAGTTCAGACCTTGTATCAATGTACTCTAAATCTTTCCCTCCGTGATGCAAACAATTATGGTTGCTGTGTTTTCTCGTCGCAATGTCTCGATACACGCACGTCGAGCTACACCAAAGACATCATTTTATATCAGCTACACACCACGCTTGTCTTGGATATGGCACACGTTATGGGACAAGATACCTTGACCACCATCACTTCCCATCATCTTCTTGTGACGAAACATTTCACTGATAAACATCTGACCACAGCGTAGACTTTACCACGTCGGCGACTGGAGGCATGGCCCCATCAAGTGGTTATCGGCGCCCAATCGTCTTACTCCGGACCGGTACCTTGACTTCCAGAATGCAACACAACCTTCACGTCTGAATCCGTGGTTACGGTGGCTATCTCGGCACTCCTGAACCTGAACAATACCACTCTGCGACCATCAATCGGAACTCGCCTGATGACCGCCGCTGCACAAGGTTCCAAGGAACTTTCTGTCCGATCCATGATGCCTTGCATTGTTCCTTCTACATATGGCACCATAGCAAAAGTTTATTTCAACCTTTTGTCATTTCATGCACCAGGGGCCTTGGAAGCTGTCACCTCCCTCGTCCTGGAATCTCGCCATCATGAAGAGCGTTGTGGACGTCGAAGGCTTTTCAAGACCTGTCGATATTTCAGATGCTGCTGATGGGAACCGAGGTTCTCTGCCTACTACAAGTCGCCAGCTCAAAGTGCCCTAACCTTTTCGCAGCGTAAGGCTGACCTCGTTCGGCAACACTATAATGTTCCATTGCCATTGACAACGTAGGTATGGAAACACGGCAAAAAGCAAAGAGGCCAACTAATTGGACATGAACCTCAAGACTGTGTTACACAACATTCCGTCTGCTTACGATGCAACGGAGCTTCCATCCATGATCTCGCAAATCATCCTCAATGGCTGACCACATCTGACTATCGAAAATGGACTTTCTCAGTGTCCAGTCGGCGACCGTGGTGCTAGCTGTACTGTACATCACCAACCTCGCCATCAGGAATCATACCTACGTGCCGTCTTCGCATGCCGCATCCGACTGGCTGACCCAGCTTTGGCCAGTATGGACTCGTGGATATCGTCTTCAGAAGACCTTTTATTGGCATCGATTGATCTTCCATGCAGCCTCAACATGGACTGCCCGTCTGTGACTGGCAGATGGACGATGCGAATCAACCAAGGCCCCATGGCTTTCCTTTAACCGTGGGCGTAATACCAATCCAGCGCTGAGCCTCGGCGTCAAGACACGGAAATCCTCCATTTAACCTTCTGTGAAGCCTTGTCTCCCGCTAGGCAATCAAAGTAGCGCAATGAGCAGCGTCATTGTACAATGCAACGTACAGGTGATAGAGCCGATAACGATGCCAGTAGCAGGAAGGCTTCAGCGCATGAGATATCAAGGTTTCCAAGAGGAAAAGAAAAGGTGAGGCCGAGGATAGGTACCCATTGGCTTTTTGAACCAACAGGGCGGCAGTTGAAAAGGTATCTGGCGGTGGCAACATCGACGACTTGTACCACCAACTGGAAGGCTCAAGCTCAAAAGATTCGCTAACCTGGGTCAAATCATTGCAAAGACGAAGGATATCGACTAGCAGGCCAAGAGGCGACTTGTTGAATGACCGACCATGGCACATACATCAAGTCCCTACTTCTGGGGATTCGTCGACTTCATGATATCGCCGCGCTGATGTTGCAGAGGATCAAACTGACCGCCGTCCTGCCCGTCCAAAATAGCATCATCTCCATGGGTCTAGAAGCCCCCTGAATGCGCAATCCAGACGCCCAAAAGGAAAGGGCCCATTTTGTTGTACTTGTTTCACGATGGTGCCGATGCATGCAAACTTACGGTGTCAGACGTAGGTGTGTGGTGGACAATTGGCCAAAGGTCCGTCCTTTCGTGGCTCCAACGGCCAGCGACCAGGAGTTTAGCCATTCATTCATTCATCCGTCCATCGCAGCCACACCACCACCACCACCTTCTTTCTTTCAGCGCCTCACCCGGAGCGACAAAAACTGTGAAGATTGTGGCGCGCATTTTCCCGTTGGATCTTGACGACGACAACAGCCCTGACCATCTTTCTCTCTCCCATCTGGACTGGCCAGCCCTTTTCTCGGGCCTTCTTCAGTCTCCCTCAGCAGCAGTGACCTTGTTCGTCCGTTTGTTCGTTCGCTCGTTCGTCTTCCAGTAAAAATGGATTGTCCAGTAAAAAAGGATGATGGGTGCTGCAGGCCCCCTCGTCGCGCGACCAGGCAGGCGGCCAAGGAGAGGGGTCAAGAAAGTGAGGGATGGATTGAAGATTCTTATACGATTCTGTGGGGCTCCACCATTTCGCGGTGCTAGCCTCCGGCGCCAGTGCCAGAGGCGCATAAACGCCGCGTCTTTACTAGTTTTACCTGATATCGCGCATGTGGACGCTGCAGTCGCTGCAGAAGGCGCATCGATTAGTCCGCCGTCGCCGGCCAGCCACCAATCACACGCCCCGATAACACGCTGGATACACGTGTTGGGCAGCTGGGCACAGCTTTGGCCGGCCGGGTCAAGAGCTGAGAGGTCAGAAGGCGGGCAAGGAACGAGAAGCGCTGCTGCGAGAGGTGCCTGAGTGAGACTGGAGAGTGGACGTGGGCGGGTTTTCGGCCATCGGATCTTTAGAAAGACCATTCCAGCCTTCTTCTCTCAAGCAGTCTGGTCTCCTTTTGCCTGGTCTCCCCTCTCTTGCCTGCCTGCCTGCCTGCCTGCCTGCCTGCGTGCCTGCGCGCCCCTGGTATTGTACCTTTTTTCAGTTTCATCAATACCTACACAAGAAATCAGTCCACAACCACGACTCAGGACGACATTGAGCCATACACGAACAATACCGATCCGATCCAGTTCATATCTACGTAGCGCTTCGTCAGCTTGTGCCTGGCCCCCTACACCACTACGGCGGATGGATGGCTCCACCAGATGAGGCGGCTCACCACACTCCCATTTCAACCTCATCTCATCATCGTCCTCGGCGTCGTCCGCTGTTGACCTCTCTTCCTAGGTAGTGCCACTACTACTGCTGCTGCTACTGCTGATGTATTTTTCATGATACCCTCATAATTTCTTTTCCTGGCTGGCCTGTCACACTTTCCATACGACTGACCGACCGACCGATTGACGAGTGACGACCCCGCTTTTGAGTCTTGAGTTGACGATAAGCTCACCTCGGTCTCACTTCTTCGACTTCACCTTATTCAATCTCACTCGCCTTCGTTGCCCTCTCTTCAGCTATCTTCAACAACATGATGGACCCTTTCACCGCCCTAGGCCTGGCATCGGCCGTCCTTCAGTTCGTTGACTTTGGATCGACCGTGTACGGGGAGTACAAGAGGCTTCGCAACGGCAGCCTGTATGGCAACAATGCTCGTGCCCTTCCCAAATCGTTAGAAGCGGCACTCAATGATCTCACCAATGTAAATCGCATCTTGAAATCCACGCCAAGGCTATACAACCCATCGGAAACAGATAATATCCTAATACAGCATGAAGAAGTCAGTGCCCCCTTCATTTCTCATATGAGCTGACACCTCCTCTTTACTGACACGTGAACAGGCCATCAATTTTCTCCTCGACGAGGCCACTGACATAGCCGAAGACTTCCTGAACCGATTACAGTGTGACCCGAACCGCTCCAGGTGGAACACCCTAGCGGAGGCCATCAACTCCATCAGGACGGAAAGTGAGCTGGACAGGTTCAAGGAGAAGCTCGACGGGTTCAAGCGAGACTTGGGCATCCACGTGCTCGCCATGGTGAACGCCAAAGTGGACCATTACGGCATGCAACACCAATACGACCTTGCCCAGCAACGAGAGGAGATCATTCAGCTTCGACAGGACATTCACTGCCTGAAGGAGAACATCGTCAAGATTGTAGCCTTCAACCAGAGCGGGATCAAGTCGGGGAGTAGCACGCCAATCTTTGATCAGCATGCAAGATTGGCGGCCGAGGCGAAGCAGAGTGGTGGCCCGAGCCCGGTGATTGTAGCTGCCATGGTCACATTAGCAAGTGGTGAGACGAGATTCATCCATCCCAGTGGAAACGGAAAGGCCATGGGAATGGGCATGGGTATTATGAACGGCAGCGGCAACCAGTACCAACAAATCGGGCATTTCAGCCAGCGATCGGGATCGGATTTCTTCCAAGATGGCAAATTCGACACCGTAATGCGACTTCACTCCGATCCCGGGCTTATGGGTCAACCGGCAGGAGCAGAAATGGAATACGTCCCCAGCAAAGACTTTGGGACCATCAACAAAGCCGTCCTGGACATGCTCCACTTCCGGCAAATCACCGACCGATTTGAGTCTGTCAAGACGCCCTACGAGAGCACCTTTTCCTGGGTATTCGCCAACCCCAACAACCCCAGCACCTTTGACAACATTTGTAGGCCCTGGTCAAATTTGTCAGCGTTTCTAGAAAGCAAAGATGAAAAGGACAAGTGCTACTGGATCAGAGGCAAAGCCGGCTCCGGCAAGTCGACGCTGATGAAGTACATCATCAGCGACCGCCGCTTGCGACACCATCTGCAACGATGGGCGGGGCCATCCGACGACCTGATTTTCGCCAACTTCTTCTCCTGGCACTTGGGGGCAGACGACCAGCGGCTCATCTCGGGCCTTATGCGGTCGCTTCTCTATCAAGTGTTCTGTGCCAGGCCAGATCTAATACCCACCATCATGCCCGAGATGTGTCTTGAGGCTGCCAAGAGCCGCAATGGCCAGCTGGAAACACCATCGGGCACGGAGCTGAGGATATGGTTCGAGCGGTTGCTGCACGCCACGGCGACGAATGTCGGAAACTTCCGCCTGTTTATTGCTATCGACGGAATTGATGAGTTCCAGGGCGATCCGGAGGAGCTGCTCTACTTGATCCGCAACACAAAGGGGGACAGGGTCAAGTACCTTGTCTCGAGCAGGCCGATGCAAGCGTGCACCAAGGCTTTTGGGTCCTATCCGAGTCTGAGGCTGCATGACCTGACAGAGGATGATATCCGACGGTACACCGAGGCGATGCTGGGCGAGCAGCTGCGCGACAGGGGCGGAGAGGACTGGTTTAGGCTGGTGAACGAGATTGTCAAGCGCTCCGAGGGCGTGTTCTTGTGGGTGGCGCTGGTGATACGGTCGCTGCAGAAAGGGTTGCAGAATCATGATACCCTGAAGGAGATGCGGAAGAGGCTGGATCAGCTGCCGAGCGATATCGAGAAGCTGTATGGCCACATGCTGAAGAAGATACCGCCAGATTACAAGAAGAACGCGGCCAAGCTGTTCCGGATCGTCATGGCGAGCATCGATATTGAGCAGCAAATCCGGGAGCACCCGATTCTCGCGATCCAGCTGTCGTTGGCCGAAGGCGTATGGGACGAGGTCAAGCTGATCCCGGAAGGGTCCCTCACCTGGGACCTGGAAGAGGTTAGAGTGCGGGACATTGAAGCGAGAGTGAGCAGTCGGTGTCTGGGGCTGTTGGAAGTGCACACACGCAGGGACGACAAGACTCACAAACCCTACATCGACTTTATCCACCGCACCGCCGTCGACTTTCTGCGCGATTCCCAGGTCGCCATTGACTTCCTCTACGGCACGCTCAGTTCCGACTTCAACCCCCAAGCCTATCTCGTCCGATCTTGCTTGACCATGGCCAGAATCATGCCCACCACCACGCTCTTCGATGGCGACGTTGTCTGGGACAGCATGCGCACCTGTCTCGAATACGCCCGCATAGCCGAGTACAAGAAACGGCCTGTCTTTGACGGTTACTTGGACCGACTCGACCAGGCCATGAGTCGGCACTGGTTCGCCGCCCTTTCCTCCACCACGCCTTACAGCTCCTCGGTCGACATCCATCGCCTTCACCACTGGGCGCAAAAAGCGTCCTGGTTCTGGACCGGCCCCAAAGACGTCGACATGGCCCGCGTCCAAGCCGAGTTCAACCAGTTCTGCTACCCTTCGCTTTACGTCAACAACGACCCAACGTCTAGCGCCCTGGACGAAGAAAACCAACGCCTCCTCCGCGAGATCGACCTCGGGTTCCTGGTGGTGGCAGTCATGTACTCCCTGCCGACGTACCTCCGCACTTGTCTCCACCGCCTCAAAGAAACCGAAGAGGAAATCGAAGCGACCATGAAGCGCAAATCCACCCGCAAGACGCTCATCAACAAGATCGACAAGATCAAGGGTGGGAAGCAGACCTATGTCCCGCCCAAGGTCGCGCACACGGCTACCAGGCTGCTGTTTCTTTGGGCGCAGCTCACGGCTGCTAGTAGCAACTTTTGCATCGTGCCCTGGACCAAGCCGCATGCGCGCGTGTGTCGGACGCTGCTCGAGTTTGGCGCGAACCCCATGTGCGAGTTTACTTATTCGATAAGCGGCAAGCTGTCGGCGCACAGAAACGCGTGGGAGCTGACGAGCCAGGCGATTTTGGTGTTGGTGCACCCAGCTTTGAGGAAGAAGAACTTGACGGAGCTGTTGCCGAATCAAAAGGTGAGAGCGGTGCTGTGGATTACCAACTTTTTCGTCAAGAACGGGGCCGATAGGGGAAGCAAGGTGCCGAGCGTGCTGCTGCACGGTGCCGGCATGAAGAATCTCGTGTTGGAATGTCCTGGTCGAGCGAAGGACGAGGAGGCAACGCTGCTGGAGTGGTTGGAGCCGTACGCCAAGGGCCCCGCGACGAACGAGGTGGGCAAGAAGTTGGGCATGATCATGCGCAAGACGCACAGGGTGCTCAAGGGCGTGCACAAGACGAAGGGGTGGAGGAGGAGAAAGAGCCGCAGGCCGAATGGAGAAGGGGGAGACGACTTTGAAGAGGATAGTGATGATTACGGGAGCGAGGATGATGACGATTATGATGACGATAGCGATGACGATGGGCGGTCGGTCATCATGCCGGCGAGTAGGGATCGAGGCGAGCAGATGATCATCAGGAAGCCGCTACGGAGAGCAGGGTCCGGGGACACGTTGTTGGAGGATGCGATGGACGATAAGCCGTTGCCGCCGATTCCCCGGGAGAACTCGATTCTCAGTACGCAGCCGAGCTTGGGCGAGATTGTCGATGAGGATTACAGCAGGGCGAAGACGCCGGTTATGCACCATCAGGCATTGCCCGACACCCCTCCGCCGTCGGCACCGGATGAGATCTTCTTCCTTCCCACAGCATCTTTTGTCGATCTACCCAACTCGACGCCTCCCAGCCCAACCGGGACCATCTCACCGATTCTGCCCCGGCCCGAACCCGAGCCAGAGGTGGCACCGACCCCTCCTCCACGCCCACATGAACCGACGCCCGAAATGCAACCAACCCCTCGCTTCCCCGACCTCCCTCGCATGCCCCTCTCACCACTATCACAACGCTTCCCCCTCTCACCACTCTCCCAACGCTTCCCCCTCTCCCCCGTATCCCCACGCATGCCACTCTCTCCCCTCTCCCCACGAACACCCGTCGCCCCCTCCCCCGCCGACTTCCTCTTCCCGGCCGCCTTCCGCGCCGTCGCCCACCACCGTCGCCAAACCGAGCCCTTCCCCGGCCTCGGCATCAACCCCTCCCAAGCGACCCTTGTCGATCCCAACTCGGACGACGTCGAAGACCTCTACCCCGACGTCAACCCGTACAACCGCGCACCGCCTTCCCCTTCGCTCTCCCGGCGCTCCTCCACCGAAACCCTCGTCGAGCCCAAAGCGCCGCACTACACGCGCGAATCGCTCAAGAAGCCCGACATGGAACGCCCCGTGCACCCGCTCGAGCTCGCAATGCAAAGCGGCGACCTCTCCGACGATTCCGATTCCGACTCAGAAGCCGAGACGGTCCGCGGCCGCCAACGGCCGGGGAGACGCGATCGGTCGAATACCATGACGACCAGCACGACGAGCGCGACGACGAGCACGACTGCCACAACAAGCACGACCACGGGTAACAGACATCGCGAGGCGCGGGAGCTGAAGCGCCAGAAGCAAAAAGAGGATAAAGAAAGGAGAGAAAGGGAGGCGAGTCGGGCGGCAAGAAAGTTGCCCGAGCCCAAGAGCGGGAAGCAGGGGTATGCAAAGTATTTGGGCCAGACGGGGGCCAAGGCGGCGGCGGTGGTGCCGCAGAAGTTGTTCAATCTGGCGTTTTGGGTGGGCGATTGGTGCAAGAGGGCGTATGGACGGTGTTCGTGGGTGGTCAAGATTCGGTGGTAGGGAGTGTGGTTCTAGGGGGGTGGTTGTGGCCTCTGTACTTTGGTGCAGGGACGCCGTTGAAGTCTGGAAGCTTGCCTACCTACTTACCTGGTAAAGGAAGGTGGATGAAGTGACTTGAGGCTGAGGCTGATGGTAGACCCCCCTAGAGCCTGAGGTAGAAAACGTGGAAGACTGGAGATGGTGCAGCAGTTCGAGTTCGAAGGAAGGATGCGGCCGGCACCTGGGATTGAAGAGAAGAAGTAAAGAGGCGCCAGAAGGAGATGTTGCTAGGTAGTTGGTTTTTTTTTTTTTTTTTCACAGATTCTATTTTCATGGGTTACTTACTCCAGGACGGTTGGGAAAAAAAAAGCGAACGAACGAACGAATGAACGAAAGAAAAATTCCTGGTTATTTAGTTACCTATCTTCTATTGTTTGCTTTTTTGGATGAAGATGAATGGATGATGGATGGAATGGATGATGGATCCGGCCAGGCTCCAACGCTGGAGATCCAGTCTGGAGGATGAGAGGTCTGGTTGGGGGTTAAGTCCGCCCCCTAAAAGTGTGTACATTACTACCTACTTTACGTCTGTTTATATACCTCTACCTCTACCTCTACCTTTAGATATAGGTTAGTTAGTTCCTCACAGATAGTGTTTATATACCTAGAATTCCATATTTCTCGGTTGCATTACTTAGTTGCTTGGTTGGTTTTGGCACACAATACCTACTTTTTAACATTGACAGAAGGTTATAAAAATGAGAATGAGGAGTGATAATGATGATGGATAAGGTAATAATGGATGGCAAAGGGAAAGGCGGAAGGGGGCTAGTTCTTACTTGCACATCAAAATGTATTCGTCGGCATCATCCGTCTCCTTGACCCTTGACCCTTGTATCCCCCCCTTTTCTTACGCGCGTAGGTATTTATGGGTTGATGCATGCTTATCAAAAGCTGCACGCTTCCACTCTTTTCTTGTATGTACGTAGTCCTGCTAGATGGTTGCCTAGATAGGTAGGTACCTAGACCGTGAAGACGTGAAGACGTGAAGACGTGTTAGGATGAGAGGAAAATACCTAAAGATGGAATCAAAAACAGACCTAGGTAGACAGACCACTCAGCACAAGAACGGAAAGAGATAGCTACGGAAAAGAGCAATAGACGAAGTCTACATACAGTCCATGCATGCTTCGTAGATGTCTTGGGGTATTGATCTCCTACTACGATACCTTACCTATGTAAGTTGTCTATTATGATTACCTACTTAGGTATCCTTTTATCCAAGTTAGGTAGGTATGGCCTGGCTCCTTGTTTATGTCCCTTCCGAATATCAACCAACCTATAATTACCTAAAAAGTCCAATTCCGTCTCACCCACCCTATATGAATTAATCCCAGTACTTACCTATAGGCTACCTACCTACCTATAGGTACTACAAACCCAGTCAGTTAGTCTCTATCTATCCTGCAGGCTCTGTCCTGTCCTGTCCTGTCCGTTTGAGGGTTTGTCTACCTAGAGTACCTACCTAGAGGGAGGTACTTCTAACTTCCCTCTCCATCCCTCTATCCATCCATCCATCCCTCCATCCATCCATCCATCCCTCCCTCCATTCATCCATCCATTCATTAATTCCTCCCGTTAGCGTTACCTATCCATACCTATCCATACCTACCTACCCACCTACCTACCTACCTACTTACCTACCTACCTACCTACTTACCTACCTACCTACCTACTTACCTACCTACCTACCTACCTACCTACCTACCTACCTACCTACCTACCTACCTACCTACCTCTGCCAAAAGTCTGTCTACGACCAGAACCAGAACCAGAACTAGAAAGATCATAACTACTACTACGAGGACATGGACATGGACCGGGCGGGAGGTTGCAAGAGCTTAAGTTGAGGGCTAGGTTGGGTATGTAGGTAGGTAGGTAGGTAGTTCGTATAATCTACTATAGTAGTAGACGGTACCTCTAAGTGATCTAAGTAAGTGATGATTTTGGTAGGTTTATTTCCATCCATATCCAAATTAAAGATCTGCTGGTTCATGGGTATGTATACTATACCATACCTTAGGTATTCGATATGAACCTCGGTGGAATGCCGTGATACCGGTTGGTTGTAGATACCTAGGGTATCTTAGTTGATGTAAACGAGTTGGGACTTCTTTCTCCTTCAAATATTCTCTCCTAGGAGCGATATTAGCATCCAGGTCTTCTTGGTTGGACCTTTGCACCTTTGCATAGGCAGTGGTCTCATCAGCATCCCCGACTGTACCTACCTAGGTAGCTAGCTACAGGGAAACCACATAACCCGAGCGAGTTCTTCCTTCCTTCCTTCCTTCCTTCCTTCCTTTTGTAACCTCTATACTATAGCTTCCTTGTCATCATATCAATCGATCTCTCTTCTTTCTCATTAACGCACTCCCTCCCTCCCTCTGCCTCACAGCATAGCCTAGAGGTACTTACAACCCCCCCCCAACCCTGGCTGGCATCAAGGAATAATCCACCCCCACAACCACAAGGCCGAATGAATGAATCCCACCAACACCTTCCTCTACCATACTGTGCAATGGATGAAAAGGGCTAGTTATGTGACAACGAATGCTATATCCGCATTCTAGAAAACACATAACACCCACGTGCCCTCAGGGTATAACACCAGACACCAAACGACAAACTGAACAACGAAGACTGTAATCTGGTGGGTTGACCTAATTCGATAAGTACCTAGCCACCTAGCTAAACTAAAAAAGGAAGGTGTAGTAACTGTTGTATGTTCTTGTAGTGTAGTGTATGTGTGTGTGTGTGTTCTTGCGCGTCGCGCAGCACAGCACAGCAGCAAGCAAGCAAGCAAGCAAGCAAGCAAGAAGTTTGAGAGAAAAGCAGCAGAAGAGTAGAGTACAGTAGAAAGGGAAAGAAAGGCGAGATTGAAACCAGCCCAAAACCGCGCAAGCCAACAACAAGCATGCAAGCAAGCAAGTCCGTACTCCTTCCTGTCTGTCTGTCCATCAGAATTTCACATTTCCCTTTACCCTTTCTCTTTCTTGTCTCTCCTCTTTCTGCTCATTCTCGTCCTCTCTTGGTCCCCACGCTTCTCTTCCCTGCCCTGCCCTTGCCAAATAATATCCATATTCATGCCATATCCATATCATTGATATCCATGTTTCCTCCGCTCCTCCCCTCCAAAAAGTTTCTGTCCCTGGTCAGATCCTCATATCCATCAATAAGTCTCCCCCAAGTCCACCACCTTTCTCACTGTTGTCCCCCCTGGCACCGTTCCATGTCCATGTCCATAACCCGCATTATGTCCATGCCCGTGCCCTAGAGCCGCCGCGTTGCTCTGCCTCCTCAGGTTCAAACTGCCTGTAACACTTGACCGACTCGCACTCGAGCTGCCACTCTGCCTCCTGTTTCCCCCACTGCCCGGTATCGGAATACCCGTGTGGTGATGATCCGGGGCGTCGCGTGCACTCAGTGTCCCTGTCCTCCTCCTCGCTGGCATCGTCTTTGACCTCAGTTCCCTCTGTCCATCGTCCGTAAGCTCGTCCTCTTCGGCTGTGCTGTAGCTGATGCTCGCTTGGCTGTGGGCCGGGCCGTGGCCATATGCGCTCAGATTCCCCGAGCTGCGTGGCCACGAGCCTACGGGAGTTCGTGTCCCATGTCCAGGTAGACTGGTTCGGCTGATGGGTCGCGAGGAAGACGAGGGCATGTACCCTGATGCTGCTGTGGAGTGGGAATCGGCTCGGCTGATGGGCCGGCCGTAGCCCGAGGAACTAGCTCGGCTGCTGGGCCGGGAGACTTCCGAGTCGACGTTGGTGGCGGTTGCTGTGCTTGTAGATGTTGTTGAGGCTGCGGCAGAGGCGGGGTGGCGGATCGGTAGAGGCCCAAAGGCTATGCGCGACACTCCTGACGTGCTAAGTCTGGGGATGTGCTTGCTGAGATTCAAGGTGCTGCTGCGGAAGTCGGGGTTGCTGTGCGTGCCTGAAATATCGGACGCGTTGTCATCGTCCAGCAGGTTGAGCGAAGAGGTAGAGGCCCCGACCCCCCGCTGCTTCTTCCCCCGCATGGCTACCGTGGCGGCAAGGCCTCCGATGCCTCCGCTGAAGCGCGGCGACTGCTTAGGTGGCGTCTGCGCTGTGGCCGGAAGCTTGGAGCGAGCCGAGTGAACGCGGGCTTCGAGTTTCTGCATCTGTGCGGTAAGGGTTCGGATATGGGTGAGAGAGTTGGACGGAGGAATCCTGTGTACCGGTGCCCGTGGCCTCTCGGCGGCTCTAGCGCCCGAGGGCCTTGACGATGGCGTGCGCACCATGGGATAGCTGTTGGTGTTGAAGCGGCCGTTGGAGGGACGGTTCGATTGCGAGGAAGTCGACGAGCTGAGCGGCTTCGGCTTGGGCGTGATATTGTTTTCGCTGAAGGACTGGTTAGCCTTGTGAGTTGCCTGGGCTGACGACTTGGCGGCGGCTGACTTGGAGATGGACGTCTTGGGTGTCCGGCACCCGCCTGGTCTAGAAGCCGTCTGCTTGACGGGGGTGCTCCTAGACGCCCTAAGACCCTTGCCCAGCGAGGCATCGGACATGGGCGGCGATGGTGGATCTTGCACTTCGGACAAGGTGTCGATCGTGGACAGGGACTTGGTATCGGGTGGAGTTGAGACCAAGGGCGAGCTGGCGGTCGACAGCGGTGAGGCAGGCGCGGGGGCGATAGTGGTGGTAATTTGTGTGAGATGGCCACGGGCTTGGTGCTTCCTAAGCTTGGACTGCAAGATTTCGGCCTCAATCTTCAGGTCGGACAGTTCTTCGCGCAATCGCTGGGCTTCGACGCGCAACCGTTCTCTTTCCTGCTCCCCAATCTTGATTTCCTCCTCCATCATGACGGCGCGTTCAATCGCGACATTGTACTTGGATTCGAGGTCCTCCAGCGAGGACGACGTGTTTCGGGCTTGGCGCTCAAAGTCATCGTTGGCCACTTCGATATCGCGTAGCTTTAGCTGGAGGGTTCTGTTGGTCTCGCGCAGAGCCGTGATTTCCTTCTCAAGCGCACTTTGCGCAGCATTTGCCTCTGATTTTGATTCTTTGTATTTTCTCTGTTACCGAATCCCGGGTCAGCAAATATTCATTTTTAGCGTATAGCTAAGAGGGGAAGGTCAGATGGGTGGTGGTGGCGGTGGGAGCAGTTGCCGGGTGTGGCGCTAATTGAAATGAAAGGGTGTGTTGGGGGGTCACATCCATGACCGTCACAGGATCATCATCATGGGAGCCCAACGAGAGCCAGACATGCAAACATACCTTCCACTCCTCTACCTCGTAGGATAATCCCTCGGCCTTTTGCTGTAGGGCGCGCTCTCTCTTATCGGCAGCGTCCAGGTCCTTTTCCAGCTCGGCCTCGAGTTCCTTGGACGACTGCTGGAATTCCTTGAGTTCCTGCTCAAGCTCTTCGTACTGAGACTTGTACCAGGCCAGGGCCTCCTCCGTCGTGGCATTTTTGGCGAGCGGTGATCCGGGGACGTCGGCCGCCATTTCGCAAGTTCTATCGTCGTCGTACGATGTGGTGTGGTGGTCTGCAGGTTTTCATGTGATGATTCTGGTGTTGATTTGGTGGTTTGTTGTTGTTGTAGTTATTTCTTTGGAAAACAAAGGAAAAGAAAACAAAAGAAAACTTTCGTCGGTCGTCGCTGTCGTGAAGAAAATCGAGATGCGATATGCGAGATGCGATAAAGGTATTCGAATGCCAAAGGAAATGCAGGCGCGCGTGACGTGGAAATGAGGGTATATCGCAGAGTTGAAAGCCGAGTTTCGCGTTGGAAAAATGGAATGGAAAAAAGGCCGTAAAAGACTGATGCTTTGTTGAACTGTCGTCGTTTTCCTTCGCGTCTTTTTTTCTTTGCAATAAAAAGGGTTTGTGACAGCGTTAGATGGAGGTGTTCTCGATAGTAGAAGCAGTTTGGGTCATGGCGATGGAGGATGAGGGTGACGCATTACCCGACAGCCAGGAGGAGCCTCGAACCACGCAGGAGGAGAAAAAAAAAGAAGAGGCCTTGTCGCCGACGTCGTCGAAGAGCCCAGCGAAGCGAAAGCTGGAGGGTGACAGAGGCCGGGAAAGAACCTGCGCGACCGGGCGTAGGTGAGGTCCGGGGGGGAGGGTAGGAGAGGAGAAAAGGCGACGGGGCCTCTCCTGTTGTTGTGCCGGGTTTTCGATTGCTTGATTGATTGATTGAATGGTTGGCGTCGCAAGCTGAGTGGGAGGTAGGCAGTGGTGGTTGCTCAAAAACGCAGGACTATGTCGGGGGGTTTAGAGCTGGTTGGTTGGTTGGTTGGTTGGTTGGTTGCAATCGCTACCTAGTACTGCGCGCAGTCGGTCGGTCGGTCGAATGGTGGTCGTCTAGGTTGTGTCGTAGTGTATCGTGTCGGAGGCAGGCCGCGACAGTCGCAAAGTCGAAACCTACCTGGATTACACGACGCCGTCGGTCTCCGGGGTGTCGTGATGGTCGTCGTCGGCGGTTGGCAATGCGTCGTCAGTTGTTGTTGTTGCAGGACAAGAGGAGCAATGAAGGGATTGAAATGAACCAGGAATGTCGTCCCGTGTCGGTCGGGCGGTGTCGGTTGAGAAAGATAGCAGAAGGATGGGGGCTCCCAGCCTGGCTGGCTGCCCGTTCCCCCAGGTCGAGGCCCGCTGGGGAGAGGGGGGGGGGGGGGGGGGGGGTGGTGGACTGGGTCTTTTTCGGATTTGATAGTAATTGTATGTGTTTTTCACTAGTAAAACTAACAGATGTGAACCGAACAGTCTCTGCCGGCCAACCGTCGCATGCGCGCACTAACAGGGTGGATTACGGATGGGCACGAGTGGAGTCGGCGGGTTCATGGGCACCATGGCACCCGTGCGCACCTCGTCAACCCTGCCTGCAGCCAGCAAACCCAAAGTGCAGATGTTCTTTCACTTCGTTGGTTGTCCAGTTGCCGGTCGCCAATTGTTTCCCGTATTGACAAGTTGAAACATTCCGCATTGATGGAAAGACGTGGAAAGGACGGTTGGTCAATGGACTGACAACTGAAGACTGACAGTTCATGCATGTTTACTCATTCTTTCTCTGTCAAATCAAATCACATCTGAATCACACACATTGGACACCCATTTCACTTTATCCATCCCTCCGTATCCATATCTCCAGAGTGCTACACTGACTAGACTGAACAAAGTAAACTGAGCTAAACCAAGTGGGTCACCGCCACTACTACGGTACGCTCTCTCTCCAAGGTACCGGTCGGGTGCCTGTCCCTTCCTCCTTCTGTCTGTTTTTTTATTCCCCAAAAGAAGACGGGACTCTGATCCTCATCAAGGGGTTTCTATTAAAGCTCGGACTTTTGTGCGGGTAACTGTCCGGCAATCTGCCAATGTTTTTTCTTTGCTTTGAATCTAGATCACGTACGTTTTGAGATGAACACCTCATCATCAGCATCATCATCATCAACATCGTCATCATCAATCAGCCTTACCTATTGTTGGACAAGTCTTGGGGTCTCTACCTAAAAAGCAAGGCAACCCTCCATTCGCACTTTGCCACGACACTCTCGACTGTGTTGTTGGAATATTTCCCTCTAGTGTACCATCCATAGTCAACGTAGCCCCTTTTCGGGGGGGCTCCTCCCGAAACAGGAAACAGAGGGGGAGCTCCCTCCATCAGCTTTCCCTATTTGGCCCCAATCAAATCCACACTGGAATGTCCCGCAGGGCTTCCAGCTGTTTACCGCCTCCCTCCCTCCTGGACCTTTGTTCTTTCTGCACGACAGCCAGCACACGGCGGTGTCGTCTTCAGCCCGTCGTATATGGAACCATTGATCATCTTTTTTTCTGACCAAACATGTTGTTTCTATTTATTTCGAAGCATCGTCGTATCCATCAGAGACCGACAGGTACAGGTACAGGTACAGGTACCATGGAGTATATAGAGGTATGTACCTACTCATCACGATGTAAGGCAGGTAGTCTGGTAGTGTATGCAAAACCGGGAGAGCAGCATCAGATCTCTGCGCCCCACCTTGCATCTGCAGGTCCCCGCAATTTCCCACGTCCCACCCACGCAACTGCACGTCGACGGCCGTTTGGGTCTCCAATTCCAAAGGCATTTTCAACCTTGGGTGAGACTGGCGACCGACGGGACTCGAATTCCATTGCGTCACTGAGGGGCTTCATCATCGTCAATGACCGTATCACTTGTCAAGCAAAGCACATGAATGATGAATCAATCGCACTGGCATCACTTAGCACTGACACCTCTTTGAGTGTTGCAACTTTGAGATGTCCCCCTTGTCTATAATGTCAAGTCGTGTTTCGTGGGAAATTCACAACACGTAGTTATCCATACCTTTTCATATACCATCTTTAATTGCCTAATATGCTTGGCTTTGTATTCTTTGTCGAGATCTCAAGTGAGCAAGGCACATTATTCATCTCAACGGGACGGGCCGTTTGCAAGATCAAAGACGACAACAATGAGATTCTCAAGGCGTGCACAGTTCATCAATCTCTCTACTCTAGTCGCAGCCCCTGACCGTCTATCTGATAGAACCACCATACCTCATCGCCGTCTATCAAATGTCTTGGTAAACACCACATCACAGTCATCATACATCTCTACCTTGCCCCTACAGCCTCACATCACACCTACTCCCTCTTCCCAAAAACCCCATACCTCTCCGTCGTCGCAAAATGCATCCCCATCGCAAAATGAAACAGTTTCGCCGCCACCACATGTCTCTCCTTCTTACTATACTCCACCAACCGTTCATACAATTCCGCCATGGGCACCACCACCCTTTCAATATGTTCCCCCACCTCCGTCTTCTGCTCCGGCATTTGATCTTCTCCATCCTCCTCCTTGAGATTCACCTCCACCGTAGCCATCACCATATTGGTATTACTCAGTCCCGGATCCGCCGCCTGTATGGGACTGACATTCTTCACCACACAATCATACCCCGTTTCCTCCTTGAATTCTCTTATAGCCGCCTTCTCGGGCGTTTCACCCTGGTCTATGAGGCCTGCAGGCCACTCGACGGTATAAGCGTCCATGGGCGGGCGGTATTGGATTACGAGGATGGTCGAGGGCGGGCGGCGAGGGTGCAGGAGGATGTTGCACATGGCTACTGCGTCGATGCCCCCCGCAGAAGAGGCAGTCGGCGTCGAACGCGTCTTGCGCGCTGCGACTTCCCAGAGGCGCGGCTTGCCGGTTTGGTCGATGTAGTGGATCTGTTGCAGGGTGATCCATTTGGAGGATTGCGGGGAGAGCTCCGTGATGGTTGTGATGTGCGGTTCTTGGGTTTTGTGGATGGTCATTTTGAAGGTGCGTTGCTGGGGGGTGACAGTAACGGTCTTGGTGAGGTTGTTGGTGGTGGTGGTGGTGGTGATGAGAGGAAGAGCGCGAGTGCGTGATGCGGTTGCTGATGCGGTTGCGGATGCGGATGCGGATGCGAACAAGGTGGGTGCGGGGTATCGGTATCGGGTGAGGATATTCCGCATCAGCTTCTTGGAGAGTTGTGTCTGGTCAACGAAGTCAAGCGACTTTCTGGAGGAGTTTGAACAGTGGGACGGGAGTCCGATGAATTGGTTTCGCAGACGGAGGGAGGCGATGAGAGCGGTGCCGTGGGCTCGGGCGAACGACTGGAATCCAAACGGAGGCGACAGGGAAGCGCGGGGCAGAAAAGGGTCTTGGCTGATGACGCACAGGAAAGACCCTGTTGCGCTATGGGACCTGCGAATCAAAAGGGTTAGGGTTACTGGTGATGTTTGGCCCGGAGTTGACGGCGCAATGTCGACAAAAGTGAACAGAAAACACCGACATGCTCATGTCATGTCGATATTAAATGTCAGTGGCATTGGAAAGCTTGACGTGGCTTCATTTCAGCAACTCTCTGCTTCCTTCTTTTGTTCTTTTTCCCATCATCAACTCGCTGGCGGTCAAACATGGACAAGTGTCAAGGCAGTGTTGACCTCGAATTGCTCACATTGTCAACGGAGTCAATGCCGGATGAATACGTTCTGGAGTTGAACTCACTGGATGTCATTTTTCTTGACCCCAAGGTTTTTTCTTATCCACAAACACTGTTGGAATTGGATCACTGACGAGTGTCACCGCACCGTTGACTCTCACCTTCGACGCTACACCCTCGTTCCCATCATACCATATTGCTTCCGATGAGCGCGCATACATTGTGGTTGTCTCTCAGGAGTCGATCGATCAGATATAGCATTGCAGCCGTGGTCATCTCAAGATATACTAGCAGTCTCTGCCCAAGGTTATGAAGAATAGCCGACCTTATGATTCACCTACATCGGAGGAACCATCCGTTATCGGACCAACCTAGAGAGGGCAAGTGATGTGAAGAAACATCAAGACTCACAACCATATCAGTTCAACTCCTTTCCTTCGCCTTATTTGCGACGGTTTGACCATTACAGTCACCCATCATGATCCATCGCCAGATGATTCACCAAACAACGACCTCATATCTCCCCTTAAACCCCTTCGACCCTTCGGCATTTGTGACCCCCTTCGTTTCATTCTCACCCGCATCGTGACCTCAAGGTATCTACTCCCCCACCAAGACCTCCCATTTCAGCAGACAGATAGTCAAACCCACACGGGACACCTCAAACGGCCTTCTCAATAGGTTATCAGAACGTAGAAGTAGGTAGATACCAATGTGCCAACTAGCCTACGTCCTCTCCCCATGGACCCATTCCCACCACAGCCTCGCACGAGACCAAAGGCGTTCTCAATGCTGCCACCTCGTCTGCATCACCTACTGCTGCGCTGCTACTGCTGCCATCGCCGCTGCCCGACAGTCCGAATCTCCCAACCAAGTCCCAAGAAGTCCTTCAGGGGCAAGTTCGTCAAGTTTCAGTTCGTTAATTAACTACGACGACGACGACGACGACACCAACAGCAACAGCAACAACAACACCCCCCCTCTCTCACCTCTCCCCCGAGAAGAGACTCCCCCAGAAAGTACCTCAAGAGGAATGTGCAGCACAACCATAACCTTCAACCGCACCACCACGCCCACCTTCATACTCCACCACGTCCGCCAAGCCCACCAATGTTCACGCTACAATAATGTGCAAATCGAACGGCCACGCGACTGGTACTACTATGGTTCGATGTTGGCGTTTGCAGTGGAAACTTTGCCGAGGGCGAGGGAGGGGTATACGCTTTCTTGGAGGTGGGTGAGCGAGCGGATGATGGGTTCGCATCATGATGGGGGTACCTCTAGGACTGGGGAAATAGAGAGGAGGGATAGGGAGAGAATGGGACATGAGGGGAGAGAAGGGAGGGACGTAGAGAGGGACGTAGAGAGGGACATAGAGAGGGACGTAGAGGGGAGGGATATAGCGGAGAGGGAGAGGGACGTCTAGAGGGACGTAGAGGGGAGGGAAGCGAAGGGGGGTAGTGCGGAATTTGATACTCCCAGTATCTCTAGGTAATAATGGGAACGGACCTCGAGATGGGGAGGGGGGAGGGGAGGGGAGAAAAGAGGGTTACTAGTAGTCTAGTGCGAGTGAGAGGGACAGCGAGAGGGAGGGGCATCTACGTACTGCGCTGCAGGTGGGTAGGAGTCCGAATTCGAATGGGAAGGAGGCAGCAAGGAAGGAAGGAAGGTGCAAGCAAGGTTGGTTGGAAGCCGATCCGTCGCATCGTACCTAGGGAAAGAAGTAGCTACCTAACCAGCTGGTAGATCGGCACACCGGTACGAAATTTCTTAAAAGAAAATGAAGCATTTGCCGAGTTGGCTGGCATCAGGACGAGCGACTGACTGACTGAGTGATCCAAGGCGGATTGGTAACTACATACGCCTTCTGGTGCAGCCTGATCATCTACCTGATCATCTACAATCACCATCCATCCCATCCATCTCATCCATCAGCACGTCTCATCCATCTCATCTCATCCATCATGTTTCCTGTTTTTTCTTCCTTTTTCTTCTTCTTTTCTTCGCATTCTTCCGTCCGCTGTGCCACGACATATTGACCCCGCCGGACGACGACAACAACTGACAAACTTCCGTTCATTTGTTTGGAAGAGGATGGGGATGAGGATATAGATAACTAGGTAGGATACACAGTTAAGAATGAGGAAGAGATGGGAGGGAGACATACGTGTTCAATTAGAGGTATCCTTCCCTCAAACTCCCCCAGATCTTCGGGTCCCCCGAAGGGAATGAGACGACGGTTATAGCCTGTATACATGACATATCATAACCTACGGTAAGCGCCATCATCACGGGAGAGAGGGGTGGCTTGTAGGTGGACGGGTTTGCCTGGGAGAGGAAATTGGGGAGGGGCGCTACACGAGGAGCGCTAGATAGCATTTTGCATTGACTTCCGCATTATCACAAGCATAGCTTGACCGAGCAGACGGCAATCCATTTAATTTGGTCACCACAGCCTTCGAGTACAGATGAACCACCGCCACCAAAGTTGAATGCGCTGAGCGGTGAATTCTGTCTAGAGGTACGAAAGTAACATCTCAATGCTATCGCTATGTCCACATAATCTACCCTCCGCCGTCTCGCTGGGACTACCAATTTCTCGCCCATCCTCAAATCAACATCCGATACACCCCAATGACCCAGCACACACTTAATCCATACTCTCAACGCTAGTCATATGTCGATGTCCCTTTCTAAACCCCATTACACCCACTAACACTCTTCGTCCCGCAGTCCATGTCCCAGCTCATACGCAAACCAGCTGCTCCTGGGCAGCCCCATCCATATCAGAGTCATTCTCTCCATCATCTGTAGACTCCCATTCTGAGAACTCCATTCCATCTGCCTCGTCTTGCGCACCCTCCGATTCCGAGCTGGAAGCGTCAGGTTCTGCCACCTCTGTGCCGGCAGCATCCTCTTTGGCCTTCTTTTCCTCTTTTGACCGCTTTTTCTTGTTCTTGAAGTGGTTCCTGTTATATTCAAGGTGATATTGACATCTAATGCGACCCGGTGCGGCCGGCTGTGGGCAAGAAACACACACACCCTTCTCCTTTTTTTCTAGGTTCTTTGTGTACTTCCTGTAATATTCAAGGTGATATTGACATTTAGTGCGGCTCGGTGCGGCCGGCTGTGCACAAGCAACACACACGCCCTTATCCTTTTTGGCTTGCTTTCTTTCCCTGGCGTTTTGCCTACACTTGTCACACCGCGGGGAGGAGTAATTTTTGCTTGGAAGCAACTCCCCACATCTCGTACAACGTCCTGAATCTGCATATTTGTTACATGTCATTTTCCAAGCTGGCACGCCTCGGCTGCTTGACTGTTTGTTTGGTCTTACCCCTTTTGAGACCCCATTATTTGCAGCCTGAGCGTATGATTCGGAAGAAGCCGGTACGGGTTGAGAATTCGAAGCCTTGTTAATAGGGGTGAAAGCGATGGAGCTACCGACACTGGGGTATGCTTCGGAAGGAGCCGGTACGGGTTGAGAATTAAAAGCCTTGTTAATAGGGGTGAAAGCGATGGAGCTACCGACACTGGGAGTTGTGACTTTGGCTCTTTGCTGGCGGTCTGGGGAACTCTTGTTTGTCTCCTGGCAACGTTGTTAGATACATAGTTACTAACATCGAGTGAGGACTTACCTTATTTAATTCCGCAGAGCCCACATTATCGTCCAGCTTTTTCCGCTTTCTCTTTGATTGTTTGCGTTCGGGAGGATGTGGCCTCGGGGCTCTTCCATTTTTTGCAGGCAGCGGGCTCGGTCCCGTGGATGATGAAACAGGGTGACCCATTCTTGTGTCTCGTGCCGATGGGCTTGGCGCATTCCCTGGTGCATTGTGCTGTGGCATCCGTTGGCTATGGACTTGGGTGGATGATGAAGAATATGCTCCCGTTGCCGAAGATGAATTACCTCCCGTTCTTCTGTCCGGTGCTGATGTCGGGGAGATATCACCCCTGTGACCGATGCTGGGACTAGCTGTTGGCTCGGTTCAGAAATGTAGGACGCCGACCCCCCGACGACGCTGGGTTTTCATCGGTGTTGTTGCTGTGATCCGACATGTGTCGCTAAGTCTGTTGGTGAAAGAGGTCTGGATCGTATCACTGTCTGAACGAGCAAAATGATGCCGAGAATGGGAGATGTGTGATGATGGGATGGACGAGGGATCTGGGTGGAAAGGAGGAGATGGACGAGAATGTTTCATTTGCACAAGATTTACCTCGCGGAACCCAGACTTCAACTTCCTCCATCGACTTGGGTAAAGGCAAACGACATGGTCCAAATGTCATCATCGAAAGTCCTGACTCGATTGGTGGGGTCCTTCCCAAACGGGTATCACTGGTGTGTGTGGCTCTTTCCGCCAACTTGGCTCTAGGTGCTATCGTCGGCTTTCCTCGCCGGGAAGTGAAAATTGGTTTGGAACACAAGTGGAATGTCTCAAATACACATGGGCAGTTGCCAAGAAGGGTATCTGAGAAATGAGAGTCTGGTAGATGGGAGTGGACAACGCACTGGTCCTCTTGAGCAGCCTCGTTTATTCACACTCTCGTGACTCGAATTCAGCACGAAAACAAACATTACACCTTCCCCTTCCCTTTGGCATACCTCACCCTCCCTTTTGCTCTACACTCTCCACACGTCAACTTCCCATCATTACCTCTGTCTCTTCCACAAGTCGTACATAGTCCTTCTTCTTCTCGCTGCTGGCGGAGAGACTTCCGCCGAAAGGAACACCCAACACACGTCATCTTGCCAGGGAGGCAGGGTTGCGGGTTGTTTTTGTTGTGGCAGCGGGTGCAGGATGCTGTTGGGCGTTCGGTAGAAGCCGATGTAGGAGGAGGATAAGAAGAGTGAGCTGGTGATGGTGGTGGAATGGAATGGGGAGTGGGAGCGGGCATCGGAGAAGGAATTGAAGCGGGAAACGTGGCGGGCAAAGGTGCAGGGGCTAGATGAAAATCTGAAGATGCCGGAGCTACGGTTGGAGGACTTGATTGACAAGGTCGTCGTCGTGATCGCGTGGGACGGGGTGGGATGGGAGGAACGCGATTTATCGGGGTTGAATCTGGGAGAGTCTGTGCCGGGACTGGGGTCGTAGGTGCGGCAGGTTGCAATGGAGATCCCAGGTGAGAAGCTATCATATCCAAGCGGAGACGAGCTGGAAGATTTGGGTGGAACTGGGGGGCCTGTGGGCTGTCATCGGCGATATGGTCTGGGTCTTGCGTCCCTACCGAGTCTTTGGTGCTGCCGATATTGGTGGATGTATGTGCCGGGACGGGACAGGAGAAAGAGAAATCCTATTCCTTGACCTGGATTTCGTCGCCGTCCGGGCTAATACAAGGCCTTGGGTCCTGAAGTGGGAAGTTGCTTGCTGGTCCATCATCTTGAAACTCACCAGTCCCCACGTTGTCGTATGCCGCCGGTGACTGCCAGAGCTCCGGCTCAAAGGCATTAGAATAGCTTGTCTGGAGAGATATCTCCTCGGATGACGGAGATTGAAGGCCCTCGACACTGGGAGCCACACATACTGGAGATGGTAGGGCAGTCAATTCTGTTGTTTGGCTTTCTAGGCTGTTGCGGCCACTCATGAGCCAAGATGAAGAAGACATATCAGGGCTGAACAAATGTTCGTCGAAAATCTCCAAGCCCCCGGTATCATCTACCTGAAGTCCTGCGATTGCCGCGTCTGACTCAGGGGGCTGGGGGTAAGGAGTTGTCGGGCATAACACCGGATCGTCGTCAGAGAACCATTGCGTCGGCTCAAAAGGTTGTGGTTCGAACAAGGGATCTAGCATGTAGTCCCAATCGGGGTTGGAGAATAGCTCCTCGATTGTCAGGGTTGTCCAGTCCCGTTCCTCCCAATCACCTGTATTGTTCGGCTCTGCTTGATTCGCATAATCGGTGACTGAGTCTGGAAGTAAGAAGGCAATGTGCGCTTCTCCATCGTGACTCTCACTGTGGATGGCATCTTCCTTAGGCTGAATGTTATCCACTCGGAGCCTGTGTGTGATAGTGTTCTCGGTCTCGTCGCTAACAATAGCAGGTGGATGAGTAGAGGTATTCGGCTCGGTGATGTCTTGATGTGGCTCCACGATGGAAGCCTGTTCATTAAAGTTCTCCGGCTCTTGGACCACTTCGCTGATGATATCATCATGGAATCGCTGCCGCTTGCTGGCTCGATTGGTCTCAGTATCATCAGTCCCGTCGAGGTCGTCACGCTTGCGCTTCGTGGCCCCGGTCGGGCCAGTCGGTGACCTTATTTCCGTCGCACACAGTTCGTCGCCGGCTGGGTTCATGATTGGTTATACGCTGTGCTCGAGATGTGTCTTACCCGTCGACATTGGGCTCGTGGAAAAGTGGGAACTGCATGGCAAAAACCGAACGCGGATACATCTGCTCGAACGAAAGATGTTAGATGTGCGGCAAAGAGAAAGCGAGCAGGGCAGGTAACCTCTCGAAGTATCCAACGTGTGGCTTCTCGGCTTTTCGCAGAGATGGGTGGCAAGATAGCCATAGCTTCGAGTGTTCGAGGATCGTCCTGGCAAGCCGGTGGGATTGCCTGTAAGTTGCCCGGCGAGAGTAGAATCACCGGGCGTCATTGAGAGTCATGTCGCGAAGAGACCAGCTTTAACGATGGATGGTGTGTGTGTGTACCTTCTGTATAACACCTAATCTCCCTGATGTGCTTTGATCGTCGAATGGTCCCATTCGTTTAGTTGTATCTTGAAGTCTTGGTTCGGGGAGAAAGCCATTTGATCGCGGAGACCCGGCGCACCAGAAGGATACTCAATGAAGCACCGCGCAAAGCGGTACGGCTTGGGAATCCGCTCAGACCGTTCAGCGCAAGTGCTGTCCTTTTGTTAAAACAATAATCAGTACCCATTTGACTGTCCGTGACGCGAATCCTCTTGCTGCCACTGTTGCCGTCGCCGAGGGGGAGATCAAAGAACGAGAAAGTGGCGGACAACATAAGTTGGCCCACGCTACAGACGGAATGTTCAAGATCCCTTTCAGCCTCTGAGGGTGCAGGTGCATCCGAGCTGCATCCAGATGCATCATGTGAGGGGCATTTGAGGGGGTAGTACTCACCTCGCGAGAGGCGTCGCGTCCGGACGTGATCGCGTTCAACTCAGCCCCTTTCTCCCAAATTGCAAACTTGTTGATCATCTTCTTTCTGGCTCTGTCTTGCATTCCATTGGGGCGTTGCGCAACCGAATGATGCCTGAAAATGTTCGGATCGGAGTGGCCGCTATGGTACAGGAAGAGGGGAGGCCGGAAGCGCAGCGATGGCGAAGCTGGTTTGCCGCTTTGCGCGTAACCACAGAAGTATATTCTTTGGGCGCGCCGTGGATGTAGTTCCTTCGAGTGTCCAAGGTAAGTTACATCTGAGCGGGAGCTGATGCGATGTTGACCGCGGGGGGAAGTCGCGATGGATGCCAACGCGCTCGATGAAAGCGACTTGGCTGCAGTGGGATTTTGCTTTGCGAAACTTCTAGTACATTTGGTCCAACTCAGGAATATAATTCTCGTCGGGGCGCATTGTGGTCGAGTGGTCGAGTGGCGGATGGAGTCCAAATGAAGTACGGCGTTGATGTTCAGGAAGAGGACTGGTCACCGGCGTGATGAATCGCGAGGATAGCTTCGAACGGGAGAAGGCGACAACGTCGCGAACAGTCACGGTCGTAACAATCCTCGGCAACTCTGTTTCCACGATGCAGGCAATTGTCCGCCCGCAGTTCTATTCTCACCAAGTTTTGCGCATCGTAGACCCGCTGCCTATTCGGAAAATCACGACTTTGGTCATTCCGGTCCCCGTGTGATGGCGCGCGATCCGCAATCCCCGTACCTGGTACCCAACTTCCACGATGCAGAGTTATGTAACCTACACATCATTTCCGATACCTCTGTACATTTTTGGTGTGGTTTCTGCTGCAGTAGATACAATACAAGCCTGTTCGTTTGCGAGTGTCCGACATGGGATTTTGGATGGAAAGCCGCCATCGGCCAGCCCGACCCTGAAGGCAGGAACGAACAAGTCAACAACGAACGAACGCCGTCCACCTCCTTAGTCTCATTTATCAGAAGGAGGTGCTGCAGCAAAGAATGACCCAAATGGTGGTATGGACATCGCTACCTATGCATTTCCTTTGTTGGAACGGTCGGGACTTCCCGTCCAGGCAACCGGCAGCGCAAGATCGTGGCTATCGTGGCTTCCTTCTCCACGGGATTGGTCTGCATCCACGTCATGAAGTTCAAGTTGGGCAGAAGGTGCCCCATACATTTCCTTTTGCTCTCCATCGCCAGCCCTTGCTGTAGCGTGGCCGACGCCGAGAAGTAACCGCGCCGATCTGGATCCCGTTACTCGGACCCAGCACCGATTGGAGTTGCGGCCATATCCGTCGCGGCGTCACCAAAGCTTTCACTCGCGGCGTCACCGAATCTTTCACTGTATCCCGATCTCCATCGCGAACATAAGGTACTTACCTCTCGGTTGCCAATGCGGATACATATCTCGCCGCAGACATTGATGATCCAATCCATGTAGATACAGTCGTGCAAATGACTACTAGACTACTCAGCAAGCGCGGATATTATTATCACAACATCTCCTTTCTCAATCTATCTTCACATACTGCTGGATCTCGCCGTTAGTACCGCTCGCTTAGAGAACCGAAAAGCTGCGCCTCTTGCGCGTATCGCGTGTCTTCGGAAGCGGAAGGAAGATCATCAGGGGTACAGTAGGGCTTGGCGTGCTAGATCACATGGCTGGACAAAAGAATGATGCTCTTAGTTGATTGTACAATGGAATGATTGCTATACGGGTTAGAAGTTTGGTAAGCTAACAAGAGGGGTTCAGGTCAAGACCAGACTAGCGAACGAGGTAATGAGGATGGCCACTTAGGATGCACCAAGGGAGCCAAAACACATCTTCTTTTACCCCTGATAGAGTCACCAGATGGCACCAGCGCGTGCTCCATCACGTTCTTTGTAGCCTCAAACGAGCTCAACTCCACAGTCGCGGATGAATAACGCCTCCTCGGTCCAGTTAAGGGGTCGCAGTAGCCTCACAAGATTGCGTATACGTGAAAATTCCCCAACCAGTGGTACACTGCTGACATGGCGTTCTCGTCGGGCAAAGGGTGACGGTCGTCGTCACGACTGGTACAGAGGAGCAACCGCAGGACTGGGTGACGGCAGCTAAAGGGAGATCGAGACCAGTCAGCAGTCAGCCGAAACAGGGAGGTCTCAATGCCAACACTTACCATCCCAGATGCAGAAAATACTCGTGTCGCAGGGGAGATCACACCCGCTGGTGGCCCATTGCGTCTGGGTACCTGTGAACGTGCAGGATGGCGCGATGGTAGGTGGAGGAGTTGTAGTGATGGTGCTCGTGGTGGCAGCTTTACAAGGGCCGGCGGACACGGTGCTGTCAAATAAAGTTAGCATCGCTTGGTCGAACAGTCAAGAGATGGCGAAAGAAGAATAAGGGAGAGGTGGAAATAGGATACCTCAATGCCGTTAGAAGAAAGGCGAGTTGGCTCTTCATAATGATTGTCATGAACGTTGGAATAGTGTTACTTGTCGCTGAGCGTGTGGGGTGTCAAGGACAAAAAGCCAATGACAACATACAGGGCGGGCTTGTGTGCTGTTAATGAACAATCCTCGTCGCGCATTTCAAGTCCCGCTTATTGAAATGGAAGATCTGGCACAAGCTGGTGTCTGGAGGCCGTCCAGTCCTTCTTAACCCCGCCTCAGCTGAGAGTCTGGTAGAACAAATCGGGTGATACGAGGGGACGGATGCGGATATGACAGGAACGGGGTAGTAACACCGAGCCGAAAAGGGAGGAGGCGTTTTCCCCGACGGCGTTGTTTGGTCGATATTTTGACGGGATACAACGGTGGCTTATGTGTAGCATCTGAAAGCTTCGTATCCTGTTAGCCGCTGTTTAGATACGGACGACCGCCAAGATTGTTGGCAAATCGTGGTTCACACAACCGAACCAACAAACGTTGTGTGTATCGTGATACAATGGCAATTGGTGATGTCAACAGCCAACAAGGGGGCACTTTGTGGCAAGCTACCTGGCATTCAACTGAAGCCACAAACAACGGCGTGAACCAGCTTCCATAGATGGTCAGAGATTTTGTGTCCAACATCGAAGAGGTACGGTTGCTGACAGGGAAAGGGACTTTGTGGACTATAAATCACTTCTTCCATCCGGTCAGTTACCCATTCACAACTCCTGTCTGGATCAAGAGGAGAAAGGGGCCAAACCACGACTTACCAGATTGCACCAATTACACCCAGTCTAGATGTCTAACCCAACTCCCTCTCAACCTTCCCAGACTGGTAGCCGTGGAAGAGGGCAAGGCGGTCAAGGCCCATCAAATATTACCGACTACCCTCGTCAACCCGGATGGCGAGAGCCACACTGTCCTCGGTGCGCATACCGGGCTGCCAATGTGGGAAAGGCTCTGCGGAAACTTATACCTACAGCCGACAAAGTGCAAGCGTTTGAACTCGTTGGAGAGCTTTCTTGTGCAGTGTCCGTCGGAGAGGAAGAAAGCGGAATCATGTGTAACTACTGTCGTAACGACAAGCGCGCTGTCGAGTTTCATTACCCGCCTGGGAGAGGCTTTGAAGAAACGAGTGGCAGACTATGGAAGAGCTTCCTTGATCTTGCTGGCCACTGCTATAATCTTGATGCGCAGCCCAACTCGTGGGAGATTGGACTTGGAGAAGTAGAAGAAGCGTCCAGGCAATTCTTGGCTTGCTGGCATGAGCTCTATAGGCAATACGGCAAGGACCTGTTGCAGATGAGCGCTCATGAGTTGACGGATGTGGGATGTACGTCCGTTGTAACCGTCCCTGGCGTCGAGAAGCCTGTAGCAGCAAGACCAACATCAGCTGGACCCCGTGCTGTCCTCGAAAGTGTCTTGGACCAAGTTCAAAAGATGGGAAAAGACTTCAACAACTTTGCCACCGAGTTCCACAAGCACGCCGAGAACACGAAGACAGAGATCGAGCTGCTCAATGACACTACCGCACAGCTCGAAGCCGACTTTGCACAGCTTCAAATCCAGGATAAAGACCTCGCCACCTCTTTCGAGGATCACTCTGTAAGGCTCATCAGCGAAGTCAAGGACCTGGCGCAGTATGTGAAAGCCCAGGGTAGAACGCTTACGGCGGTGAAGATAATGGTGGACCGGCTCGCTATCAACTTCAACAAAGTTGCTAATGCGGCCTTGACCCCGGATACTACGGGTGAACAGCGCCAGTAATTCGCCGAGGCGCGAATGGAGGTGGGAGACGACATCATGTCACTGATGCAGCGGGTCTTTCACGCGAGGTTTGGAGGATGGATGTTGTCGTAGATGATGGATGGTAACGCGAAGGCTTGAGGAAGAAAGGCTGAACAGGGGACGGGAAGCAGCGATGGGACGTTGAGGTGAATCCGTGAAACAGTCTGTAGGAGAATCCCTTGAGGGTGGCTTCGCCGCAGTGTAGATAGCTGACCAAGAAATGGAAAGATACCTAATCGTCGGGGCTCCCGATCGCAGTTGAGTACCAGTTGATGGTTTAGTGGAAGCTGGTTGAGATCGAACAACCAATCCGTTGAACGGAGGAACTTCCCGCCGACATCGGGACTCTCTCAATCTCGCCTTAGCTCACATGACCGTAGACAGATGCAGCTTGCGAGGAAGATGTATGGCTTCGCGCATATGCGCCTTCCCGTCGACCGTGGAAAATGTGGAGAACGGAGGAGGTGGACGTCCAAAAGTACCCGACCTCGCGGCAGTCTTCCGTACGCGGACCGGAGAGAACAAGCCCTGGTTTCTTGTGAACTTTGGTTCGAGAAAGTGACCATCTCTGCTTTTTCAATCGGAGTACATCAGTCGACTCCACCCTCGCGTCCTCCGCATCCCTGATGGTTGAGTGACCTCAAATCGAGATTCTCTGCTGTTGGAACTGCCAACTTTCATGGCCTGGTTCGTATAAAGAAAGGGAAGGAATTACTTGCCTGATTTCCACAACAGCCATCACGCACTCTGTCAATCCCTCCGCCAAGATGGCGATGAAGGTAAGTGCAGTTGATGAAGATGGCAGCAGGAAGGACCGAGTTGTCCACGGATGGAAACCCGCGCGACGTAAAGCGACACTTCATGACAAGCGGGCAAAAACTCGACTCACCGACATAGCGATTCCTGGGTACTTTCCAGTTTGTCGTAATTCTCATACAGCACCCTCGAAAAGTGTTCGCTGGCTAGGTACGCATTACAACTAACAATCGGGGTCATGGTACAGATCTATCGTACAAGGAGATCGCTAACTGCAAGAGCCTGTGCCTTTTGCTGGTATCATCACATCGTCGGAACACTCAATCATGTCTATTCTCTATGTCTTTCATGCCGCAGGCCATACGATAGGAGCGACCGCATACAGGACGATCCAAGTGGTGCATACACAGAACCATCCCCGACGTTGGATTCTGGTCCTTAGTGCTCCTATACCTGACTGCCCCGCGCATGTGTCCCTTTATCGCTTTTTCCATTTCCATCAACATCTCATGCTCATCTTTTCATTGTCTCGGCTAACTTGCTTGCCGTGCTTGCCTCGTTCGCTGCACCCGATTCCTCTGCGCCTGACCTGGCCAGCTTTGCGGCTCGCAACTCCAAACCGAACCACACTTGCTATGATTCTCGTCTTCAACGATATGGACCGAATCTCGACAAGACCCAGACCCGGCCTCCGTGGACCAATGTTCGTCCTCGTCAAATACGAACATCAAAGGAGAAGAGCAAAACAGATACCTACCAAACCTTTCCCGTATTGTTTTGAAGCAAGCCAAGGCACCGCAACTAACACCTTGTCGATATTGCAGATCTTGAGTTGATCCTACGTTAGGACGGCCAAGTCAAGAGGCAAGACCATATTGCCGGTCTCGTGCTTCGCGATATTTCCAAGGTATCTTGTTTGCTCGACTCGACGGCCCACACATTCGCTACCTTGAACAACAATCCTATTATACCTCGCTGAGCCTACGATATCGAGCCCATTTTGTTTCTCCAACGGGGAATTTGGCCCATCAGTCCGTACATCACCATCGAACTCCGTCATAGCGAAAGGGATCTTCGATTCCGGCCATCCGCCATTGCGCCCCCCCCCCCCCC